TGTTCTTCCATCTCAGTTTCACACAAAGTGCAAATCTACACTATTTGAAAATTAGATAATTTGTTTGAAAGCTATTACTGTACAACTCCATCTTCTTGCAAACCAAATTTACTGTAATGTGGGTGAGACTGTTTTTCTTTAACAATTTCTATTTATTGTTTTGAAGAGTGACACATCTAAAAATGTTTTTCTCTTCCTTACAGTAAATATGCCAATGTTTCTGAAAATCAAGAATGCAAAAATATATAATTTTACATAAAAATCTCAGGCTGCCTGCAGAGCAAAAATACATTTAAGCAACTCACAAAACAAATTATGTAACTAGGGAAAGAAAACAGCTCTGACAAGTAACTACTGTAAATATTATATTTTTGGTTTTTTATGCTTTCACAAAAATATGTAGTTTAAAAATTTGTATTATATCTGGAGGCAATATGAAGTTATATGATATATAGACTATATCATTGAACACTCAGTGTTGAATGGCTAGAAATAAAATGAGTAGAAATGTGAAACTGAATTGAATTGAATTCTAGAAAATTCAGACATAAATGTACTGGGTTTCTACATATGATCTAAAGGGAATACTTTTATCATCATGTCAATAACCCACAATTTTTAGAGAGCAGAAATATTTATTGAGAGAAAGAAAGTTTCTGTCTGAGAGACAGACAGAAGGGGTCCCAAGTGGGATGCCCTTTTATTAAAAAAAATATTATTTATTTATTTAATACCAGGGATCAAACTCAGGACTTTGCACTTGCCCAACAGGAGCTAAATCTCCAGCCATATAATAATTCACATTTTAGATACCTAAAGTGAGTCTATGCTACAACATGAGTGTATTATATTTTTGACAAAATATTTTAAGTACTTGACTTGCCATGGTGTAAATTGAGAGGTGGAAAGTAACAAAATTCTTCTCTGACTTATTAATTTTGAGGTCCTACAGAATTCACTAAAATATTTAATAGGAGCAGAAAAATATAAAATAGCTCAACAATCTAGGTCTCCCTAAGATGAACATTCTGTTCGTTATTTCATTTTAGTAAAATTTTTCTTGTTTCTGTTTATAATGGTATTTGTTAAATGATTAAGCATTTTAATGAAATTTTATTACTTAGGACAATGAAAAGTTGTGTCTTAAAGCTAATGAAATTTAAATAAAATATCGAGTTAAGAACTAGGCTGTAACCCATTAGCAGCTGCCTTCCCTGAGAGTCCTAAATATAACATATGATCTCATCTACTCCTGGCAAAATTACATCCTTCTTAGAAGCACATCTTCAGTGACAGCATTTCTTGAATGTCTTTCTAGCTCAAGTAAAACAGGCTCTGCAGTACTGCACAAGCATCCTCAGAAGTATTGCTATTTAGAGGCAGAATGACAGTGAATAATGGTAAGAAATAGGGCACTGCCCCCGTGGGTACAGAGGAGCAGAGGTAGCAAAATACTTAAACTCTGACTGCTTTTCCCAGAGATTTAAACCCCAGCAAATAGGGCCCTGTAGGCATATAAAAGGAAAGTGCAAATTTAACCCCCTTTTCACCTGTTCAGCTGCCATGGAGGTCATTTCTCTACATGTTATTTAAAGCTTGTTCCATTTCTGCCCTACTATTATTCAGTTCTGAGGAATCAGCATAAAGAGGCATGGAGAGATAGAAGACTCGGAGATGAATCTTCAAAGTACATTAATCTATTCAATATAATCTGGTAAAGCATCACAGATTGCCAAGTTAGTTAAAGGTTGCTGTGCAGAGCTGCAAAAGAGGATGCTTTTGTCCAGATCATTTGCTGGGAACCAAGAATGTTACTAGACCTGCTCTGGGTGCAATTTTTCTCTCTGCATGTGGGCTGAGATCCTTATTAAGATCCTTAAGAAAAGTAATGGGCAGAACTATTAGCACAACTGCTGCTACATTAGTGTTGATGAAGTTCTTGTGGAACTGCTTTGTGAAGTAAAAATACAGAAAACCAAGAACCCCTGGAGTCCTCTGGCAGAGGAATAAGTTAAGGATTAGCAGGACCCACTATGCTTCCTGTACACATGCTGAATATGTAAGAAAACCCAGAGGAACTGAGCTTGGCACTAATGCTAAGGTACTCTGCTTCCTTCTCTACTCACCCTTTCTCAAGCAAACCTAAATGACAGATTTTTGTCCAGAACTTTAAACATGTCAATAATTTCCACAAACAGAAAACAAAATTTCTGAGAGATCATAGCTTCACCTATTAGTACTGTATTAATTTATTAGTGAAAAAGATTTTGAATCGCCATAATATGAATAGTTAAAGATTATAAGCTATCAAGAAAGAACGAATATGGAATTTGAACTGGGTATATCTAAATTCAAACCTCTGTACTAGCATAGATCAAATGAGGGAATTTATTGGATATTCTGAGTTTTAATTAAATTCTCATTTGCATAAACAGAGGATAGGCGAGCCAGTTAATCTCTAAGTTATAACTATTTATAAAAAATAATGCTATAGAAAATATTTTTGATTGTAGATTAAATAAACTGATTGGGTTTTGTAGTACTAAGAAAGGAACTCAGGCCTCCTGAATGCTAGACAAGTGCTCTACAATTAAGCCACAATCTTATATAATTTTAATTTTCAGTTTTGAGACAAGATCATACTAGATTTTCAAGGCTGGATTGTACTTGCAATGCTCTTGCATCACTATCCTAAGTAGCATCAAAGTATGCATTATTGCAGCTGGCTATAAATTGAGAAACTACCTCTCTGCTAGAGTTATGCATCAGATTGCTTCTATAACCTGCAATTTGTAGGTAAAACTAGAGCATAATATTTATATAACCAAATGATTGAAACCACTTGAGCTTAAATGTAACATATCCTTTTCTTTACTTGGGTAAGGATTATATTTGAGGAAGAACACTCCACAAAACCCTGTCTTTCAAAGTACTAATGAATTCACAAGAAGTGCTAAAATGTGAGAATCAACAACTGAGAAAATAGTAGAATCCTACAGTGTAATGAATTTTATCTTTATTAGTAAACCTGTATGACATTCGTGATTTAACTTCAGAGTATCTAGGACCCTTGTAAAGAGCAAAGTCTGTAGGATTTTTTGTGACCGACATGAGCCCTCTTTTCTAAGGTAGTTTATTGCTTACATCTGCAATTCACAGTAGTTTAAGAAAAAGATAGAGGAGGAAGAGGAGGAGAGGGAAAGAAAAAAAAAAAAGTAAGGTCAGTTCATTAGATATCAATTTTTCAAAAATAAACAAGAGAAAATATAGGAAGGTTTTTAAAGAGGTAACCTAGGTGAGGATGAAACCTGGTTCACTTCCTGCCTACATCTGCAAAATTCCAAAGGCTGTTTTGTCTTTAGTGAGGTAAGTCCTTAGTGCGATAAATGAGTGTGCACAGTGACCTATGGGCCACAACACATACTGTACTTGTGCAAATTAAAGGTGGCTGGCTTACCAGGCAATGTAACATTGTGAGGCCATTGTGTGTGTGGCCCATCCCTCACTATAACATCAATATGCATTGCATATTACTGTGCTATGTTATACAGGGACAAGATTTACAATTTTGACAGATACTTTAGCACTAACTTTCCTTCACAGAACAACCTTATTCTGAAAGACAAGTCAGTCTCAGTAAAGTCAGGCCATGTACCAGGGAAACACTTCTCTTGTCTGACCTCTGTTATCTGCTGTTCAAGACATCTATAATACACTGTAACTTTGATAGTATATAAAAGATACTTTGGCTGTGCTTTGGAGTATATTTTGGCAGAATAAATGAAAAAAAGTTTGAGAGTTTTGCCTTAATATTCTTGGTGACTGAGTAATAGAGGGCATAAAAATCTCAAACATTGAAGACATAAATTATGTCATAAAAATTTCCTTATACTACAGTTGGCCAAAGGTTCTTGTTCTAATTTATTGTGTTGTGTCTATATCCAAAGATAATATGTTTTAAGATTGAAAACTTTAAAAATACCATAAATACTGACTATGAATCCAGTTCTGAAATAATTGAATAATATTCTTTAATTTTACATTTTTATATTCCCAAACATTATTTAATTTAGTTAGATCATTATATTACACTTAATACGCAGATTAGGAAATTTAAATTCAGGGAGACTAGTTTGAAAGTATAGTAACTAACAGAGATGAGGATGTAAGTCAAATTGAAATTATTATAAAACATGGACCAATGAAAAATTTTCCAGTTATAGACCACATCTTTCATGTACGTGTAAATAGACATAATTTAAATTATGTTATCTTATTGTCCACTACTGTTATTGTTTCGGTCCTTTCCATATTCTATTTTCTTATTTCTTAGTATCCTGTTAATCATTTCAGTAGCAGTCAACTAATAATTACATTTTCAGAACCTCCTGCTTATTGGAAAACACGATGGCTATGATCTCTACTCTTGTACAGGGTATATCTAGTCAGTGAAAGATTTCATTATGTATATGGGGACAGAAAATGTTCAATGTTTAGAGACTATTGTAATAAACGGTGCTGGGAAAACTGGCTTCCCACATGCTGAAGACTAAAACTAGACCCATGTCTATCATCGTGCACTAAACTGAAAATTTATCAAAGATCAAAATATTAAAACAGAAACAATAAATCTACTGGCAGACAAACTAGGTAGATTTTTTTTTTTTTTTAGGACAGCAATACAAGAAAGCAAAGCAGTAAGCCCAAAGGAGAGTGAAACAAGTGAGGCTGTGAGGTCCTCATAAGGCAGGCATGCAAGGAGCAAATAAGGAGCAAAGAGACCAGGACGGGCAGCTGCAGAAGGCAGGCAGGCAGCAAAGCAAAGCAAGTTGAAAGCTGTGGAAAGTGAGGGGTGAGAAGTGGGTTGATCTGCTCTTGCAGGCAGGGCTCAACTGGTGTGCTCTAATACCACTCAGAAGTCCTTTTTTTTTGCACCACAGGGTGTTTCCCTGTGTGTGTGTGTGTGTGTGTGTGTGTGTGTGTGTGTGTGTGTGACTGTGTGTGCATGCACCATTCCTGAAGTATTGCAATACCCGATAGTTGCATGGATTGGACGGAGCAAGCTCCTCTTCCATCTCCCAGCTCCAAAAATCCATTTAATATATTGTCCTCGGATAAAGGACATATCAGATATTAAACTGACAAGAGCAGATACTACAGTTGATCTTATCCAAAGGATGAAAAGCATAGAAATCTTGAAAATATAGGGGTAGGCAGAGAGTTCATGAATAAAACCCAAACTGCATGCATAATGCTTTAAAGAATCAACCACTGGGGTCTCATTTTGTTAAAATGTTTTTGCACATCAAAACAAATCACAATGGAGTGAAAAGAAAATCCATGTAATGGGAAAAAAAAAAAATAGCCCTCTGTCTCTCAGATGAAGAACTTCTATTTAGAACATACAAAGAACTGGAAAAAAAAACAAAAACAAAAACAAAAACAAAACAAAACAAAACAACAACAACAAAAAAAACAAAACAAAAAAAAAACAGGCCCTCCCAAATTTAAAGATGCAGTTCAAAAATGGCTCCATTTGACCCAGCTATTCCTCTTCTTGGTATTTTTCTAGATTTTAAAGCATCATACCACAGTGATATATGTGTGCCCATGTTTATAGCAGCACAATTTATAATAGCTAAGTCTTGGAAACCCAAATGCTCATCAACCACAGTTGGATGAAAGTGATGTGGCATTTTTATACAATGGAGTACTACTCAACTATAAGGAAGGATAATCTCAAGGCTTTTATAGTTAAATGGATGTAATTTGAGACCATACTCATATGTGAAATAAATCTAACTCATATGTATATACATTGTATTGTCACCTTAGTGAAAGAAACTGAGAGTAAATAAGATCCTAAATGTATAACAGATAGAGTGAAAGGGGAAAAAATTGCTCAAAAGGAAAAACACAACTGGGATGGGAAAAGGGAGAAAAAAAAAGAAGCAAAAAAAAAAAAATATATATATATATATATATATAATATACACACACATACACACAGGAATACTAAGATAATTCTACTAATTTTTATTAGTTCATTGAAGAGTGGTCTTTGCTTATACTGTTTTATCAAGTTTTCATGCTTATATCTTGTAATGTGAGCACCTACTTCAAAGATAACAGTAAAAAATGCATTAGCTACTGTTAATTTCCTATTATCTTATTTTGAAATTACTGTTTTTAGCATTTTTTCTCACTAAAATAATTTAAAAATATAAGATAACATATTTAGAGGCTCAAATGAGGTCTGGCAATCATCTCTGAACTAATGTGTTTATTATTTTGTGTTATAATAAACAAATCAGAATATACCTGTGATTTTTTTGGCCCAAGTTTTGTACTTTCCTTTTGTTTGCCAAAGAATTTGTCCTGAAGTTTGTTTAAGAAGAGGAGTATTATATAGGGAAATATTTCAATAATTGAAAAACATTTTAAAGAGGGACAGGATGTTAAAATATCAGAACAAAACCATTTTAACTGAATATATACGAAGGCTTGGACAAGCAAGTTGGCATCCATAAAACATGGCTGCAATATTATCTGTGTTTGTCACAACTGTGAGTGAAAAATAGCTTTACTTTTAGAAAACTAGACATATTGTAACTTTAAGGCAAGGCACACAGATCTAATAAATATCTAATTTAACAGTGTACCTCTTAATGGCTTTTCATAGCATTTGTATGTATGTTTTCACCTATCATTCTGAGAATAATTTCTTTTTATTTTGCAATAAACAAAAAATAAAATAAATTTGGTTAATGTACTCTTAGGTTCTATATTACTAATTTCATTATAATTATTAGTTGTATATGTAACTCATTTAATGCAGTTTCACAGCTCACCCATACAGACTGCAACCTCAGATGATACATCTCTAATGAGACAAGCATTTGTTGCAATCGCATCACCACTAGTCTGTGCTCTTGTATAAGAAGTATTTATTTTCTTCACAGCAAAGGTAGCTCCATTTATGTAGACATTACAAATACATCATACTGCATGGTTTGATTTTCTATTTTATAATATACTATAGGAAAAGTCACTATTAGGAAAAATGTTAAAACAATATAAATCCAACAGCAGTTCCGTTCTTACCTAACTTCAGGAAAGATGACATCCTAATACAAAAAGATATCAAGTTATAAAATATGAAGTATATTAGGCTACAAAATAACACCTTATTTTAATGTGATATATAAAAACATTCTAGCAACTAGATTTTATGAATCTAATGAATTTGTTTGCATATATTAATATTAACCATCATTAAATGAGTTTTCTAGATGACCTAATTAGTTACTATAGATAAACATGCTAAAGTACATACATTTATGCTAATTTTATGTTAAATTCTATCTTGTACAATTTCTCCAATTACATATTAAAGTTTTCAATTTTTTTTCTAACTAAAGTATGATCATACCTTGGTTTTCAACTTCTGAGCTTAGAAAAGTTTCTCATACTTCACTGAAAAACTTGAGAAACTATTAACTTTTGCCATAACATTTAAAATTATTGCCAGATTTGAAAAATATGGACATTTTGAATTCAAGGCTATCTTGCAAAACTTTTGCCTTTACCAAATGCTGTTACCAAATTCTCAAGACTTACATCTCTGAGGAGAAGGAAGGCTGATGTCAAAATGAGAAATTATGTCAGAAGTTTCTTTGGATGACTCAGTGTTTCTCAGAAAGCAATGTTTGTCTACATCTATCTATATTATTTACTTGAAATTGTTATACTTTTTTGGAATTATTCAACATGAATCAGCTATCTAAAATGATATGATGTATAACTGAATTGAAGAATATCTAATATCTCCCAGTCAATTAAGATGAACAAGTATGTGCTTTTATTTTTGATAATATTATAGCAAATGCAAGTTAGTTTAGCTAAACGCCTACCTTATTCAAGAATAGAAACCCCACAAAAATGTGCTAGTCTCAAAACATCACTACACCTATCATATGAAAATTTGTTTTCAATTCAGTTAATACCAGTTATAGACATTTAAACAAGAACACTTTATAGATAATAAACAGATCAAGTAAACCTGAAATTTAGTAATTCAACATTCAATTTTATACAGATATTTTGTATTAGATATTACAAATACATCATATTGCATTTTTTCTATTTTATAATATGATATAGGGAAACTCACTGTTAGAAAAAAGTGTTAAAACAATATAAATCCAACTGTGCTGCTACTGAGACACCTTCTGCTCTGTTGTACATCAAAAAGTAATCATTAGATGGTGGCTCACATATAGTTTGAATGTCATCACCTGTAATGCAGGTAAGTGAAATGTATTATTCAGTAAATATTACAGTGTCTGAAGACTAAAATATGGTGGAGAAACACTCATCTAAATCTCTTTTGCAAATCTGTTAAACATTTGTGGCCCTGTGCTATTTCTAATTCCCTCTCTATGTCAGTTTCCTATCTACAAAATTAATCATAACAATATTACAGGGCTCTAAGAAAAACTGTGCACATATATGCTTATTGAAGTAAATATTTTAGGATAACTGAAATTTAATATACATGCATTTACTAATATATATATATATATATATATATATCAATATTATTAATTTTATTAGTCTAAATCCAAAATGTTTCATGAAACATGAGGTTCTATAAAAAACGGTCAAGGAACATGTCCTCCTTCTATTTGCAGCTTAGTGTCTCTGAATTTTGTTTCAACATTGCCCATATAGTTTACTTTGCTACAGGATAGTAGCTACCTTCCCCCAATTTTTTTTTTGGACTTTGCAAGTGTAAAAACATTAAAATTTTACTTTTTATGTCACATACTGTACTGTAGTTCATTTCTTGTTTGTTTGTTTCTTTTTTTTTGAACCAGAGATCAAACTTAAGATCTTACACTTACCAGGCAAGCACCCGAGATACTGAGCTAAATCCCTGGCGCTGTGTCACATGCTTTAAATCAGTAGGATAAAGTTGAATTTTATCCCTAGATAATTAATTTGTTCAGTTAGATCTAAATACTGAAGAATTATATGGAAATTTATTTAACTGTATTTAGATGTAGTGTATCACTAAAAGAAGATCATCTAATATTTTCTCAAAATATTTGCAAAGACGAGTAAATGAGCTGACATGGGTAGAAAGCTTCTCATAGGAATCTTAGCTGCTGCCAGCTCCCCACCTCAACCTAATGACCTTCGTATCACAGTTTCCAGCCAATCACCCCTCATTTCTAACTGCTGTGTTACAACCACGTGGACTTTGCAGCTTCACTAACCGCACATTAGCTGCCTCCAACTTCTGTGTTTGCCCTGTTTTTGAATCCAGTCATCTATTTTTCCTGCGAAAAACAAAAACATGAACGGTTTCCTAAGTGAGACTAATGTTTGCCACACTCTCGAGTTGTTTTCTGACAGCCAAGTCTGCTGCTTTTCGGACCTTCCTTTCTTTTACTGTGTTTCTGACATCAGCTCTCATTTCCTTTCTGCTCCTTGTTCTGACTTCCTGCTCTTTACTTCTTAAACTCTCACAATCTCTGTTTGGGCTTCTGATCAACAAGTCCCCAGGTTTGTGAAGTCTTTGGTAGCAAGGTCTTACTTACTGGGCCCTCATCTAGTTTACATTCATTGTTTCACAGTGGTCTTTGACTTTTGCTTACTCTCTGGAACCTGCTTCTCTCTTTGACCTGTTCTTCTGGCTTGACACTGCCTTGTGAATTATTCCTGATGTCTTCTTGTCTTCAAATTCACTGGTTTATTTTGACTTTCACTTTTATTGCATATCTTGAATCCAGAATCTTCTATTGAATGATTCGTACCATTTATACTTTAGCTTCACTAATACTACTTACAAACATCCTAGGAACTGATGGGAAAACAAAATTCACAGGTAGGTGTGATCTAGGACCACTGGCATTTACAAAGGCAAGCAGAGGAATTTCCAACATCTGTCTGTTTTCTGCTTACTTCTTTTAGCTCAAACGCTCCTTTTCACTGGAGGGAAAACTAGATTATCAATCACTACCTTCCTAAAACAAACCTTAGTTTTAGATGTTTCTTTATCTAACAAGCTAATAACTTCCAAATGTATCTGATTTATAAGAAACTCAAATTCAGTAAGCAAAAAGAGGAAAAAGTTGATAGTAGATGATTATTTAAAGGCAGAGTGCCTTGAGTCACACTTGGT